ACTGGTTTCGGCACTGCATCTCTGAGAGCTGCGCTGGAGATGGGTGATTTAAAGCACCTACTGTGCCTACAACTGTCCGTTGGTAAAAGGAGACACAGACAAAACAACACCGATATTTCGACGTGGTTACCACATTCTTGCTTTCCATTTCAGCTGGTGAGCAAAACAGTTCAATTTCTGATACCGGATTTACTGACGTGGACGCACCGTCCCTTGCTTCTGTTCGCTGGTGGGGAGGGAGCATTTACGTAGACCACGGCTCAATGGGTTTTGAGCACCTCAGGTACTCTAAAGGACCATTAAAGCAAAAAATGATGCGGATACGCGACTCCGAAAGCAGAAAGCGAATAGAAGCAAGGGACAGTGCCTCTTCGTCAGTAAATCCGGTATCAGAAATTGAACAGTTTTGGTTACCAACGGAACTGGAAAGCTACTGGTTGGTAGTTAACCCGGAATATCAGGTTTGTTTTATTTATAATTGAATTGTCTGATGGCTGTTGTAGTGCGTGTGCGCTTTCGGCACATTGTTTTGGAAAAATTTCTTTTGGCAGAGCCATTTCCGTTTTAGGGTATGACCTCTGTTTGACTGCAACACCGCGACTTAATAACGTATCTGAATCTCTGATCATCTGTTGAGTGAATAATAATCGATTTGTAGAACTTCATTGTCCTTTCGTGAGTTTTCTCTCTACTTTTTGCTTGGTGTGATGCACGCCCAAGCACTGAGTTTCGATGATTTACAGATTATGGAAAAAGGACCTGCGGGATTTACAGAGCTCATGTATAATAACGTCGACCTCAGTAAATCCAAACTATTCGTCACTTATCGGAGGCATCAAGGTACCGTGGATCGAAGCATGGTACTTCATAGAGCCAACTGGAGGAGGACGATCACGGATCAGTTACATATCCCGCATGGACTTGAGGTACTAATTGAATAGCCTTAAGTGTAAAACCACCAGCATGATGAATATCTTGAATTTTAGGGGTCGTAGTAAATCGTGGTATAACAAGTATTACGGCTGCCACTGCGCTATTCATATGAGGAACATCAAGAGCCATTTCAGGCAGCTGTTTTCCAGGGGCCCTGAAACAACTATCTGAAAATGAATTGGAAAAACAAAACGTTTAGTGCACTTGAAAGTCTGTGCCGACTGCCGAGGTCAACAGAGGTAACGATGAACCTTTATCCAGTGATCAATTCGCTGTCATCCAGAAGCTACAGTAGTGTTTACGCCTTTCACACGCTGACTAGAGTGATCGTCAGTCAGCAGCGATTGGTGGCTTGGCTTTCGCGTCTCGTTGTCAAAAAACGATCGAACTTCGGCATACGACCTATGCCGTTGCTTTTCGCGTTTCTTTAGTAGCGTGCTGTTGAAGCACCTTCTTATCGCAAAAGCTATTGGAATAGTGTATTGCTTTCATGCTGCGATAGACCACTTCACTGCATGCTTATGTTAATGTGCTCAATAAAATATAACGAACTAAAATCAGAAGTAGAAAAAAAAATTTTTTGCGAGCGACAGAACAAAACAAAAACGCGTAACAAAAAAAACAAAAACAAAGTGCAATAACTGCAACAGAATGAAATAAAAACTCCAGGAAATTGAAATTCAACGATCAGCGATGATCTGGAAAAACTTGCGTAGATCTAAGAGCTCTGGCATCGGATGCGTTCTTCCAACGCTCTTCTACTTGCAGCGATCTTCTCTCTTAGACCAATAAGGTACGTTGGTTCCGCCAATTTCAGGTGAGTGACTTGAAAACCCCAATATCGAACGACCGCTTCCACGCGCAACCAGTCACCAATGTTGGCGTTTATCATCGGCTCTTCCTGCAAAGGCAAAGGTGATCAAATTCAGTTGTTCAACAACTTAATGTAAAAATCTTTTTCTATTGGACTGAGCTGCCTTACACAGAACAGCTTATTTCAGTCGCCAGATACAACAAAATTAATGAAATGTTATCCTCGCCTTCGTTTAATCGTACGAATTTTGTGTTTTGTATTCTTATACGTAACACATCCCTGTAATACCCACTGCATATTAATCCGTTTAAATCAAAGACAGTACAACACCAGTGAAGTTAATGGGTGTATGAGGTGATGCTATCAGACACAGTTTGGGATGTCAGATGTACGTTAAATAATATGTCAATTAATATTTGGTCATAAGGTCATGTGCCATAAATTCACCTCACCATACATCAGGACTAATGAATCCACAATGGAATTTAATCTACAATGGTCTACCAGCTTTGGAACTGAATATATCGTTTGTAACGTGAACGATGATATACCTGTATCTGTTAAAGGTGATCAACCCTTCTGAGGTGAAAGTAACATTGTGAAAGACTACAATGATTTAGATATGGTATTATGTTTACACGAATATGCGTAAGTGTATATTCTAGATCATGAAGGCCAGTTTCGCAACAAAATGGAAAATCAGTAATTTATTTTTTATCGGTCTTGACAGCGATATCTACAATGAACGTTGCTAAGGTTAAGGTTAAAAATGTAAGCGAAATATGATTCAAATTTTTCACTGATTAATCTTGTTAACAGTTAGGTGTGTCAAGGTTAATTGCAGCGGTAAGCAGTACGCATCAGAGTATGGTCATAAGTATTTAACAGTCAGTCATGAGCACACCAAAAGACCATCATGTTCCCATTATCCGCAAGTCAACGAGTTGCTATCAGTTTTCGGCTCTTTTGCGCCAAGAACAGTTGAATGAATTCGTCATTCAAGGAAATTTGCAGTTAATGACAGGAAATATTGGCCGCACTTTGGGTTTTAACCGGCTCAGATGAACTGCAAAATAAAGCTGCTACTTAAAGTAGTCCTATCAACTGCTTAACAAACATTCTTTACAATAGTACCTTTCCCTTCATTTCATATGGTTGAAAGGGAAACAGGGAAAATTACTCCATTATTTTGTCTTCCAGAATCTGAAATGTTAACTTCGGGGTGTACATGTACAAATTGAAGTAGCAACCTTCACCAATAAATATGACACTTCAGAACATGAACAGCTTTGTAGCAGGATACCACTACAAATTTTCGAAGAAACGTTAAAATCATAGCGTTTTCATCGATTAGTGCCGTTACCTAAATGACTTACCATTTGGAAATAAGTCGCCTTCACCGAACCGCTGTGATCTCGCAACTCGAACTCCAAACCGCCGAACGTGTTGGTTTGAACCTCTGAGTCGAGTACAGCGTAAATGTCGAACAGCAGCGACAGTCCAGGACCTTGATGTTGGCTCCACTGTTGTGCGTCTCTGATCGTCGCGTTTAGCGTCAGCGTTCGAGACATGTACGTTATTTGCGAACGCTGCTGCTGCCGTATTACCGACTGACCTTGGGGCATGTTCTCCTTCGAGCGCAGAGCTGTTTTAGCCTGTAGTAAAAAACTGCTGCCCTTACACTGCTATTAAAAGTCAACCGATCATTTTACCATATCACTTTCGTAGCGAATCCCGTAGCCGATTGCCGAAACGCTGCTAGTGTATTGCCTTAAAGATGAACACTCAAGCAATAGCTTTCAACAAGGAATTTCAAGCATTCCAAATGTCATTGTCCCCTAACGACGCATTCAACCGATTCAAGCATGCAAGCCATTCGTATCGAATTGCTTTGCTGCTTATCATTTGTAATCCCTCATCATCATAAATTAATGTTAAAATCTGTTTCCTATAAAAACATTAAAGTTTTATACGTCAATATTATCTTCAAAACCAATACAAGCAACCATTTCTTTTGACACTGGCTGAATATTTGAGAGCTTGCTGACAATTTATCTTTTTAAAAATACCTTTTGACTGGACTTGGCATAGCTTGTGAACGAGATGACGAGGATGTATTCTCGAAGGACGATCTGTTCTGCCAAGTTTGATGTGAGATTTCTTTAGCTCCGCAACTTTGGTTATTAAATCTCGGGTTCGACTGTATTTTCGTTCCATAGCCACTGCCTGAAAGTAACGAATGTGACATGAAATAATGATGAGTGTAAAATTGTATTATTTTACAGTCATTTATCCTGCATTTTTTGTAAACTTTAGTTGATTTCAACTATTTTCATCCAACAGCTAAAGTAGTAAGTAGAATCAAAAGGCAGAGTGACATGGCAACATAAACAACAAACAAATGCGAATACTGTTAGAAGCTTTTTGAATCCACAGCTTGCCAACAGATACAAAATTAACTTGAAAATAATCTCATCTATGGTCATGGGTGCAAGATTCAGACTAAATAGAGCAGTTCCAGATCTAACGTGCAAAAATGACGTTACCTCAAGGTATTATTGGTGTGATGAGCCTCGACAATTTCAGACAGGGCATTGCAAGGTCATTCCTTCTTAAAATCGAGAGATAAGATTTGCGATCGTTTGAACATATTATAAGAATGCCACAGAAGAGAATCGCAAGACCGACCCGCAAAAAAATGGCCCAGGGGCAAAGCGAAGACCAGATGGCTCGATTATAAAACAAAATTGGTATAATTATTGTGCCTTCGAATCCACAGCATTAAACTTACCCTTTGAAGTGGACTGAGGGCATTGGAAAAGACTCCCGCGATGCAAAAGGAATAGCAGCATTCAAAACGAATGAATGAATGTGGCGCATCGCAAAAACTGGACTGACTTGGTATGAACTGCTGTGCTGAATTAAAAAACACATGATAATACAGTTCTTTGAACAGCACTAAACAATAATTTAATATTTGAATCTATAAAAAAATAAGTATTTTTTAAAACCTTATTGACCAATAGTAGTTTGCTTGAATTGGGTACTAAATTTTACTTTCGCAATAAAAAGCACCAAATTTCACACAACCATGAGAACATTTCTGGTAGTTTCCTTCGCAAAGGAGCCTATCCAATCCAGCATTCTATGGTAGCGATCAAAAGTGCGGTAAGAATTTGTGTGAATATCCTGGCACTTCAATGAAATGGAACGTAAGATTGGAAATATCGATGCTTTTGAGTTACAGTCATGCATGGTCAATAGCAAAAAGTTTCGAAACTGTTGTCATGCGTCTTGAAATGTCCGCACCCCAAAACTGTGCATTTAAAGTTTTCAGCCAGGAATTTTGCTATAGGGAGTTTTATTATATAACTTTAAACGAGCTGCTGTTTAGCATTCTGCTAGATTTTTATACAAGATATTTTTTACAAAGCTTTACATCATAGGCCACTTTCCTTAATATGTACAAGACTAAATTTCGAAATTTAAAAAAGTTCATCAACTTTCTGTAATAATGGGAATATTCCATTCTTACCGCCAAATGGCAAAACAGGACTTCTTTTTGAAGCTCGATTCACAAATACTTGATTGACAATGAAATCTGCAAAAAAAAACTTATCTTGAAAAATCAATTCCCATGGATTTCTTACCTTCATCCATTTTCAACAACTGCAGTCTGGCGACAGTGTACGTTTCACAGGGATGGAACACCTACAATTAATCGCTCCAAATCAGGAAGTGAGATATAACTGATAAAAATTAGGCAAAAAATTTATCTGTGAGAAATTTCTGAATTAGGAAAAAGAAAAATGAACTTGAATTTATATGCAAAAATTCAGCTGCTGGGTATAAAACACAAATTCAATTTTTAATTCATTTCCAGTATTCAGTCATCAGAAGCATATTGCATTCTGGAGTTACTAAATTCGATAAAAGTTTGCAGTTTTTAGTGCGTAAACTTTTAAGCTTCAAGACTGTTATAATTGGCAAAAGAATTGACTCAGCTCCGGGTCGGTACACTAGTGAACGAAAATGGAAGAGATCGTCCGGCGGATCACGATGGACGGAGGCGTTCGTATTGGAATAACCCAACCCGTTGAGACTATGACAAACGTGAATTTGAAGATGAAGCTGCCTGTATTTAAGGTGTTCCCGTGGATTTTCCTCCCTATGCCCATTTTTGGTCATATATCGTGCGCCGTGACTGAAAACTGCGATCGTCTCTGAAAGTAACTTAAATTTGCTTTCTGAGACAAAAAGCTTGGCTCGCGCCTCATGACAGAATCCAAAGTAGAGTAGATATCCGGGTGAAATCTGGTGTACAGTCCCTGATTTTCAGATCGGAAAGTCACAAGTGAGATAATTTTGGCACGTTTGAAGAATGCTTCCAGAAAGGAAGGTTTATTAGCTACTATTTGCTCAACCTACTCAGGAGGAACAAGAAAGATGAGAAGCAAGTGACTCGATCGAAATTGCTTCTGACTCGGAAGGCTGGATACACTGTCTGACGCTATTGTATCCGCTATCCAAAATGATTCGACGTCATACGGAAAGAGCAAATCAGAATTTTACCATTTCATGTCATTACTTATTTCAGACATACGTTTGAAAGACGTAAAATTTACGACGATTAACTACAACTTTTACGTTGGAACCGAAACGTAAACTGAACAGTAATTTGGAGTATAATGATGTCTTCTCTTATATTTATTGATCAATACGACAGAAACAGTGAAATCGACTATCATTTGTCAAAGAAAATAGGACCCAGATCTTTCAACTTCTAAGAACGAAAATTTAGCTGTTGCAGATTTCAAGTAAAATAAGGAAAATATGAAACAGTTAATTTTGTACGAAATGGAAGATCTACAAAAACAGCGTCTTACTGAATTTATTCTAACCAAAGCAAAATTTGATGATAACTCGAAGTAGATAGAAATAGGATACCAAAACTCTTATGAAAACTACATAAGTCTTATTTAAGAAAAACATAAAAAGTTATAGTCTTATTTTCAAAGGCAGGGAAAAACTATTGAATCTACTGACTTTATTTGACCGCATATAAATATATTAGCAAATAATAATCGCGGGTTTTTATGAAAAATCATTCACAATCGAAGAACAAATCAAAACACAAAATTAAAGACCGCACGATAAGATAACAAATCGCACGACCCAATCCAACTACACATTAGGAAAGGCGCTAAAAAGTATAAGAATCCATGCATATCAGAGAACGTGAAAATCAGCCATTCAAAAACTGAATTACGGTATGTTTTTTGGCAATTTCAAAAAGCTAAAATGCTGATGCTTACATTGTGATGATACTTGTTAATATATTCTATCGTTAATATTGGCGCATCTCTGTGTCAATACTAAAGAGACTGTATTAAATTTACGGAAAACTAGTTTATTAAATTAAGGCGCGCTAATGCGCAATAAATCCTGGTAAAGCATCCTGACGGTTTATAGTACCAGATGTATTTTGAAAGAAATTTGTATGGAATGCAGGTACTGTGTTTTTTGTTCGAATATTTGCTTTCTTAAATAATCCTTCGGGCTTTTAATTCTGGCCCATAGTTATATAGATAGGTGTTCCAACGGTTCATGGTTCAGGGCACAAATAAGCAGATGAGACGATGGTTTATTGCCGATGCGTTTCCCCATGTAAACCGTAGCATGGCTATGAGGTTTACAACTATTTGTTTACTTCAATAAAGCTTAATTTCATTGTTTGAGCAGTTTAAGGATTGATTAAGGGGTGCGCAACTACTGTTGAGCCAACGCAGGAGTTTTGCATCTCACAGTAGCAACTATTTATGGAAAGGTTCAAATCTGCTCTCCATTTTTGGATGACGAGCTTTATTTCTGTGCCATGACTTTGGTTTTTTGCTCATCCTACCATCTCATCATATCTGTGCTGTGTCTACCTCGAATATGATAAGTGTAACATAATAATAATAATTCAGAACTCATTTTGAACGTAAAGTTGTTTGCTAATTTGCTTGACTCTCAACCAAATGAGTAATCAAAGTTGCCGATTTTTCTTGAAGTGAGACTGATTATTGCATGGATATTTGCAATTGATTATAAACAGTATCTAAATGTTTGTTTCTTAACTGCAAAGATACTAAAACTAGTTTCACAGTTTTGCTTTATATTCCACTTGTATTTCATTTTTCGCTCTTTGTATAATAACTTTCTTCAAGGTAAGATGAGTGAGAGGAACTTCCAATTAATTTGTTTTCTAGTTTGCTAACGAAAAATGTATGCTTTTTTAAGAATTAGCTATGAATTTTTCCTTGTATATGACGTATTTGAAACGATATTTTTCCTTGAAACATACAGGAAGAGGCTCTCAATTTTTTCTAATCGTCTGCTAGTCACTTATGCTTGCTGAGTCTTTTATGCAGTCTTCATTTTAAAATAATCACTTAGGTTGCTCTCTTCTTCTAAGCGTTTGAAA